TTAAAAAGTTTGCGCAGAGAAAGGGAGAGAAACGCAGAGAAGTCAGAGTGTCTGCCTGTCTGCGTCTCTGCGTGTCTATCCCTAAACTCACCCCCTGAAGTAGCTCGACAAGAAAGACTTGTCCACACGCGCCCTCTCCCAACTTCTTCTTCACCACGAACTGATCCTTGATTTTGTCACCCATATTGACTTTCACCGGCGCAATTGGAGTTCCCATGCTGCAGTATTGGCAGGGTTACGAAGGTACGGTAGGTATACTGTAGTACCTGGCAGTATGACTCACGGAAGCTTTTTGCTCGAAAGATAACCGCGAATATTTGTCGTTCGAAATCGAAATAAAACTGATTATCTGGGAGAAAGGGGGAGATTTTATAGGGAAGAAATTCTGAGGGTATCGGGGGTGTCACGGGAAAACCGTAATTATTTTTTTTCACGTAGTTCACGTGGTTATTGCCAGTTTTGATAACAGAACGAGGTAGAGACATTTGACGTAACACAAGAGGCACAGACGAGGCTAGATTGTCTGACTGTCTGCGCCTCTCGCTCATTTCAAAATATGTCATCGTTCACGTGACAGATCAAGCGAATTGACTGTGTCTGTTTTCTCGATAGCTTCTGATGTGGTGTCCAAAGTAAAAAATAAATACAAAAAAAGACAAAAATAAGCGTCCAAAGTAGTGCAAAATTTGCGTCTTTTTTGCAATCTTTTTCAGTGGTAATTTCTAGACCACGTAGTTCAAATTTCTTTCATTTAGAGAACAAAGAAGATTGCACTGGATCCGCGTACGCTCGAAATACTGAAAATAATGAAGCTTGGTCAACTATGAATGCTTGTGAAACGAACGAGTACATCGACAACATCCTGAACCCTCTTTTAATTCCGGTCAGATTGAGACGATGCTACAAACAAGCCACTTGAAACGGAATATCCCTGCATCTTCATTCTCGCGAACTGAAATTCGCGAGTCGAACACGTTTTAGCCGCGAGAGTATACCTTGTTTCACTCGACTCATGTTTGAACTTCGACGACCAAGTCTTACGATACTGACTCTTCCAGTTCTCCCGAATGAATCGCTTGAATCACTTGCCTCGATGATAATCCTCTCTCCCCTACGAGGGACTACATC